AGAGCTGAGCCCCGGGGGAGCAGAGCCCGGCCCTGCACAGGTGAGAGCTGGGGGTCTCAGAGCTTCCCCTTGAGCCCCTGCTGTGGGTGCGGGAATTGGGGGTCCCTAAGGGGGTCCCTGTGGCTGTGGTGCTGCTGGGGGTGCTCGGCAAGCACTGCCCTGCACTGTCACTGAAATGTCACCCGTGTCCCCACGCAGGGCAGCCCCAGCACGGCACGGAGACCTAAAGGTGAGCAGAGCTAAAGGTGAGCAGAGCCCTGCCAGGCTGGGCTGGGGGCTGTGCTGGGGGTCTCTGCTCCCCCTGCCCTGCCCGGGGGTCTCTGCTCCCCCTGCCCTGGGGGTCTCTGCTCCCCCTGCCCTGCCCGGGGGTCTCTGCTCCCCCTGCCCGGGGGTCTCTGCTCCCCCTGCCCTGTCCCGGGGGTCTCTCCCCCATTGCCCTAACCCGGGCCGTGCTGCAGGCGTGGCCACGCGGCTGAGCCGCCGGCGGGTGTCGTGCCGGGACCTGGGCCGGGCAGATTGTGACGGGTGGCTCCTCAGGAAGAAGGAGCACGTGGGGTTCATGGCCCAGAAGTGGAAGCGCTGCTGGGTGGTGCTCAAGGGCCACACGCTCTACTGGTACAACCACCCCAACGTGAGTGGGGGCACGGGGCGGCCCTGTGCCCACCTGGGCGGCTGGCATCTCCCGGGGTGGTGCCCACACGGCTCTCGTCCCTGTCCCCGCAGGATGAGAGGGCTGCAGGACTCATCAACGTGGCCACCTACAACCTGGAGAGCACCAGGGAGCAGAAGAAGAAATAGTGAGTGGGGTCTGTGTCACTGTCACCCCCAGATGGTGGCAGAAGAGGGGGGGATGCCGTGCCAAGGCCACGTGCTGATGTGTCCTGCTGGGACCCACCTGCGTGTCCCTGTGGGGCTGGTGAGGTCCCCACACGCTGAGCAAGGCCTGCCCTGTGTTCCTGGGCTTATCTGGGATGAGGCTGAGGGCTGGGCTGGGGGGCTGCAGGGGGCTGGGGGCTCCCCTGTGTCCCCACAGCAGCCACCCCCCTGTCCCCAGCGTGTTCCAGCTGTGCCACCAGACGTACAAACCCTTTGTGTTCGCTGCTGAAACCCTGGCTGACCTGAGCATGTGAGTAGCAGAGCCCATGGCCAGCGCTGGCCCTGCAGCCCGGGCTGGCCAGGAGCCTCCTGTCCCCCTGTCCCCCCCCAGGTGGGTCAGTCACCTGGTGACAGCCAAGACAAAGCACACGCCGGCCCAGCAGGCAGTGCCAGCCAAGGAGGAAGGTGAGGAGGGGTCGGTGGCAAGGGGTCCCCACGGGGTGGTGGTGCCACTGGGAGCTTGGCCCGGGATTTGGGGAGGTGACAAACGCTCCCTGAGGGGCGGCTGGGATGATTCCCAGCCCTGGGAGGGAATTTCTGTCTGCTCCCATGGCCTCCAGACTGCTACAGTGAGACAGAAGCTGAGGACCCCGACGATGAGGCCCCCAGGCACGGATGTGACCCGGTGAGTGGCCCTGGGGACACCCTGGGCACACAGGGACACAGTTCCCCGTGTCACCCCCTGCCATCTCTCCCCCAGGCAAGGAAGAGGCTGCAGAACAGCCAGGAGAAGGCACAGCTGTCCCCAGGCAGCAGCCCCCAGGGCAGCCCCCGGCCCTGCTCCCCCTTGGGTAGGTGCAGGGGGGCACACCTGACCCCTGGCACCCTGTGTCCCCCCTTTTGGGTGGGCTGGGGGGACTCCAGTGGGGTGTGCTTGGCTGTGAACCATCTCGGGATGAAGCAGCCTGCAGGGAAGGTGGAGAGGGATTTTGTATGAGGGCACAGAGTGACTGGGCAAGGGGGGATGGATTTGAACTAAAAAGAGAAGGTTTAGATTGGTTTAGGAGGAGTTGGTTTAGATTGGTTTGGGTTGGTTTAGGAGGAGTTGGTTTAGATTGGTTCAGGAGTTGGTTTAGATTGGTTTAGGAGGAGTTGGGTTTAGATTGGTTTAGGAGGAGTTGGTTTGGATTGGTTCAGGAGCTGGTTTAGATTGGTTCAGGAGTTGGTTTAGATTGGTTTAGGAGTTGGTTTGGATTGGTTCAGGAGCTGGTTTAGATTGGTTCAGGAGTTGGTTTAGATTGGTTTAGGAGTTGGTTTGGATTGGTTCGGGAGCTGGTTTAGAAGGAGTTTGGTTTAGGTTGGTTTAGGAGGAGTTGGTTTAGATTGGTTCAGGAGCTGGTTTGGGTTAGTTTAGAAGGACAGCCTTCCCTGTGAGGGTGGTCAGGCCCTGGCACGGGTGCCCAGAGCAGCTGTGGCTGCCCCTGCATCCCTGGCAGTGCCCAGGGCCAGGCTGGATGGAGCTGGGAGCACCTGGGACAGTGGGAGGTGTCCCTGCCCCGGCAGGGGTGGCACAGGATGCTCTCTAAGGTTCCTTCCAGCCCAACCCACTCCCCGGTCCCACACCTTCGGGCCCCGCGGGGTCCGGGCCGTGCCCTCCCGCTGCATTTCCGTGTCCCCCTCAGACCCCGGCGGGGAGGAGCTGGCGAGCCTGGCGCGGTGCCTGCGGCAGGGCGGGCTGTCCCTGACGGGGCAGCGGCGGGCCCTGACCCAGGAGCAATGCCGCAAGTCCTTCCTGCGGCGCAACAGGAACCCGCACATCAACGAGCGGGTGCACGCCGTGCGGGCCCTGCAGAGCACGCTCAAGGTGGGACCTGCGGCTCCTCAGAGCCCCCCGAGCCCCCTGCCCGCGGCCGGGCCCCATGAAACCTGTGCGGTTCGTACGGGCAGGCCAAGCTGGCGGAGCTGCAGGCGCTGGAGCAGCTGCTGGGAGAGGCCGCGCTCACCTCGGCCACGTTCCGGCGCTGGAAGGAGGAGCACCAGGAGCTGTACCAGGAGCTGCGGGAGGGCTGGGCCGGGCAGCGGGGCCAGGGGGAGCAGCAGGGCCCGCAGGGAGAGGCGGCTGAGCCCTGACACCCACCGGCCCTGGCACCCACCGGCCCGGGCTGGGCCGGGCAGCGGGACCGGGGCGGTGCGGGAGGGCAGCACGGAGAGGCGGCTGAGCCCTGGCACCCTCCGGCCCTGCCCTGGCTCACTGCCCAGCGCGGTGGGTGCTCCGTGCTGTGGGGCCTGAACACGTCCTGGAAGGCTCAGCCCCCACAGGGTCCATCCAACTCCTTTATTTTAAGTGACAGTCTTAATTTTTCCTTGCCTGCACTCGGCAAGGAGGGGATTTTGAGCGCCCGCTGTGGCGCTGCCAGCCGGCCCGGCCATGGGCTCTGCTGCTGTAAATAAACGTGTGGACAGGGCCTGGTCCTGCCGTGGTTTTTCTTGGCGCTGAAACCATCAAATCACGGAATTGTTTAGGCTGGAAGAGACCTCCGAGATCAGCGCGTCCAGCTGTAAACCCGGCATTGCCGCGTTCACCACTGAACCAAGCGCCACATCCGCGTGTTTTTGAACACTCCCAGGGATGGTGACTCAAGCACTGCCCCAGGCAGGCTTGTGCCAGTGCCTGACCACCTTTTCCATGGAGAAATGCCTCCTGACATCCAACCTCACCCTCCCCTGCTGCAGCCTGAGGCGGTTTCCTCCTGTCCTGTCGCTCCCCTGGCAGGAGATCCCAGATCCCCCATTCCCATTTATTTCCCTTTCCATTTCCCTGGACTGAGCGCCCGCCCTACGGGTGCCGCCCGCAACCATTCTTCCCCCGTCAGAGCCCTTCGCGGTGGGGGCGGGGTCAGCGTTCAGACGAGCCAATGAGGCACTCTTAGGGGCGTGGTCAGAATATTCAATTGGCTGATACATCAGGAAGCCACGCCCCCTGTGCTGTACCACGCCCCTCCCGGCGGAGGTAACGGTCGCGGCGCGCGGGGGTGCCGGGAGCGGCGGCGGCGGCGGCGGCAGGTGAGGGACAGAGCCCGGTATCGGTACCGGCACCGGCCCTGAGCCGTGCCCACACGGTACCGGCACCGCCACCGGGCACCGGCAGCGCCGCTGACACACCGGCACCGCACCCTCCCGCCCGTCCGGGACCGGTGTGTCCGCTCCTCGTGGCCGCCGCTCAGGGACCGGGCCCCGCTCTCCCCCTCAGGGACCGGGGGTACCGGCACCCCCCTCCCCGCCGCCTCCTGATCGGGTGCTGAGCCCCCAGACCCTCCGAGGCTCCTCAGGGTCTGCCCCTCCCCACACGACCCTCAATGACCGGGACCTCCAGCCCGTCAGAATTTACCTTAAATTATTTCTGCCTAAATTAACCACACCTAAATTAACCACGCCTGAATTAACCATAATGAGCGCTGCATTGATGTAGAAGCGTTTCGTTTCTTTGCTGAGTAAATTGCTGTTCCTGGTTCGTTATCCTGTTGTATTCCCAATGTTTCAGCTAGCTTGTAGCATCTGTGTACATTAATCTTTTCTAGGAATTAATTTCTTATCGGAGCTCTTTGAATCAGTTTAACAAAAATCTGTAGCAGCTGCTGAATGAGGATTGAGCATGGGTTTGTAGAGGCCTTGAGTTTCCAGTGTGTAATTTGTAAATTGCATTTGCATTGCCAGAGACCGGAAATTGACTGAAGCACTCAGAGAAATGGATTAATTAACCCAAAGCTATGGGCAGATAAGGTTTGCCATTCATGGCACAGAAAGGCTGAATTTTGAAGGACTTCTTTCCTCATGTAGTTGCTCAGTGACCTCTACAGAGGGCAGAAATGATCTGGTTGAGATTTGAGACTTTTAAAGAGAAATTTTTAATCTCTGTGGACGCAGATAACAGCTGGAAGGTGCTGCTGAATACCTGGAGAATGGTGCAAACAGGCATAAAGAAAATCTACAAGGGTTTATTATTTTGCTTTTTTTTAAAGTGTTGCTGCAGGTAAAAACCAGATATTATTGGGAGAAGAAGCTAATTAAATGCCAAATGCTATTCTGATGAGTAGCCGCTGTGTTGGTTAGTGGGAATGGGGTGTGGTTTATACTCACTCAAAATAAGATTTTTATTCATTTATCCAGCTCTCTAGGTAGATAAGATGGCTGCTCCTGAGAAAGATCCAGACCTGAGGCTGCTGCAGAAGAACCCACTGGGTAAGGACAGTCCTTTCTGCAAAGCCCTGCTGCTGTCAGATCCCATTTCACTTTCTCTGAGGAGACACATGGCCCTCAGAAGGTTCTCTACCAGAAGCTTTTTATTCAAAAAAGTCTTATTTTCTGCCCTTGCCTGCTTTTTCAGCAGTCATTTGGTAAGGAATTTCTCCCTTAAGCTGATAGGGGAGAGTTCTTTAGAGTTAATGCAAAAATATCTCTTTAACTTGCCCGTTTTTGCTGTGCTGCTCCTTTTAGTCAGAGCACCAGCTGGCTGTAACATGACCAAACTAATCAATGGGAATATAATTTACAGCTTCTGCACTCTGACTTCCTCACCAAGGTTGTTTTTCAGTCTCCTGTTGATATTATTTCACTTCCCTGCGCTTCTTGACGTTTCTTTTAGCAAAAGATTGTTTTTAACAGGAACGCAGGGAGTGAAGCAAGGACCAGCTTGGGGTTTGGAAGCGCTGGTGATTACATATGGCTTAATTAAAGGGTAAATATCTGTGTTTTTTCCTCTGCAGACCCCAGCAGCTGTCAGAAGAGCCAGTTCCTGGAGAGTGAGTGGAAGGCAGCCATGGTGTCCCTGAGGTCCCTGAGCCGCTGTCCCAGCGTGGCCGAGAGCAGGGACGGGGGCATTGGCACCTCCTGCTCGGACAGCACCGAGGGTGAGGGGCACAGGGGCACCTGGGGCACAGCCTGGCACAGTTCTGCAGCTGTTCCCAGCCCAGGGGAGGGCTGTGTTACATTGACTGTGTCCCTGAGCTTGGTTGTTGTCTCACTGCAGGGCTTTAACTGACCAAAAGCCACCTTGGTGACTTGCTGGTTCTTACTGTCCAGTGACAGATTTATCAGCAAGTCTGTTGGGTGATTTAATTTTTTTTTTTTAAGGAAATAATTTGTATTTTAAGGAAATAATTTGTGCCTTTGTGTTTGGCTCTGCAGTGTTAGAGCTGGGAGCTCTGCAGCCTGGCCTTCAGCTGAGGCGCGCTCTGTGAAGTTTCTGGTCCCAGCAATCCTTTCCACCTGGTTTTTTAACCTTTATTGATTATCTTTTCAGTAATGAGGGAGTTTGTGGTGTTCCTTAAAACACTTCACACATCCCTGCGTTCCAGGGAGCCTTTAGAATGAGATTTGGAATAATTATTAAGATTGTAGATGTCAATCTACAATTGATTAAGATTGTAGATGTCAGTAACGTGTCAGTGAAATGGAGCCTTTAGCAGGTCTGGCTGTTGGAATTATTGCTGGAAACATTACACAGGCACACATTGAAGTGTTCCATCAGGCCTCTCTGAGGATGATCAAACACCATTTGGCAGCTGGGGGCAGGGGAGATGATTTCCTTTGGGAAATGACCCTGCTGGGCTCTGTCACAGCCGAGGGTGACCCGCAGGCCTGGCTGCTGCTGGGGCACGCTGAGCTCAGAACATTAGTCAGAAATGTTGTTGTGAGGACCCCGAGCACTCTCAGGGAGCTGATTGCAGCACCCCCACGTGATGTGTGCTGCTCAGGGACCTCGGGTTCCTGACGGTGACACCAGGGGATAAATTTAGGGGCTGTAAAAGGAAATGGTGTTGTCCCTTCCCTGTGCCAAGGTGAACGTGCTTGCAGCTGCCCAGGAGCATGGTGATCTCTGGAGTCCAGGCTGTGCTGAGAGATTTTCTCATTTGTGATGGAAGGATTGAGTGCCTTTATTGTGGCAGTTCTCAATATTTCACTTCCCTGTGCTTCCTGCCGTTTCCTTTAGCGTGGTTTTGGTCTTTGCACAGTCTGATTTGGGCTGTATTACAAATTGTAGTGTTTATATTCGTTGTTGTAGCAGTGCTTGGAGGGTACAAACAGGTGTGAGTTTTTGGAGCATCACATGGGGATGGGCCTTGGGCCAAAGCCATGAGGAAATCAGGAGTGTGTTCCTGGGACAGCCCTGGAGTTCCTCTGACACAGAACGTCTTGGGACAGGAGTGGGAACAGACACTTTGCTGTTTGCCTTTCTCAGCCCTCGCTGTTGCTGTATGGAAATCTGAGAGCTGCTAAGAATAACCCGAGTTGCCTGCAGCCAGGTTTGGTGCCCCGCTGGCAGGGCAGGGGCTCTGCCTCACTTCCTGCGGCCGTAGGTGAGAGCCATTGCCCTGCTCTGGGACAGGCTCTGCCGAGGCGTCCTGCAGGAGCTGCAAGGTCAGATCCTCGGCTCAGCAATGCTGCAGGCTCATCATGGGCTCAGGGGAGGCTCCTGTTAGCTCTGCTCACCCCTTGGAGTCGCTGAGCTGCGGGACGGGCAGAGCAGGATCGCGGGCTCGGTGTTCAGACCTGTAAGTTTCAGCCTTTTTATTCAGTACCAAGGACTTGATTTCTAAACCTAGAGAAAGATAATCTACTCTAGTATAATGTTGAATCAATGTTAAAAATATGGATTAAACTCGGATTCTTCCCGTGGTGGTAGGAGCAGGTCAGCAGGTTCCTGAAGCTTGTAGTGAGGGGGAACACAGGTGTGCCTGAGTCATGCTGCTGCTGCTTTCAGTGGGAAAGGAGCTGGTTTTTTAAGATCATTTTGGAAAGCTGACCGGAGGATTGTATTTTCAGGACTGTAATTAGAGTATCACTCTTCTTCTTCCCCCAGACTTTTGCAACTCCAGTAGCGGCTCCTCATTCCACCCCATCAAAACCCAGGTGACCATTCCAACGGCCCACGTCATGCCTTCCACGCTGGGCGCCTCGCCCTCCAAGCCGTGCCCCGCAGGGGACCAGGGCTCTGCACAGCCTGCCGGGCCGGGGCCGGCCAGGAACGGGGAGCTGGACGCCGGGAAGGCCTCGCAGGTGCCGCCCAGGGAGCTGCTGCGTCTGTGCAGGGCCTCGGGGGACGGCGGCTGCGAGCACGCCTGGCCTCCCGCCGCCGATCGCACCTGGAAGTTCGACACCCCTGCCGTGGAGCAGACCCTGAACCAGTCCCTGCTCACGGACAGCCTGTGCACCGAGCCCCTGCACAGGTGCCAGCAGTTCAACCCCAGCGCCGAGGCGGGCAAGGACCATTACAAGGTGCTGCCAGAGAGCAAACAGGCGCCCAACGGAGCCTGCGAGCCGCGCGACGCGCCGTGGCCCGGCGGGAGCAGGGGGATGCCGGCGGGGCTCCAGGCCAACAGCTTCTATTCCAAACCCCTGGCAGCTCCCCCAGGCAGACCCTGGCTGCAGGAGGGCTGCAGCCTGCACCCCCACCAGGGAATCTGCGAGCTCAGTGCCTGGAAACAGCAGCTGGACAAGGTGCGGCTGCAGGTGGAGCAGATGCAGGTAGGCAGCTGTGGCTGTGTGAGTTTGAAACCCTTCCTGTCTCTGTAGTGAGGAGTTGTTGTCCCAGACTAAGGAGGCAGGGGGAAAATGTCTGCTGCTGCTCCCTGAGTGACGGCAGGAGTCTCCTGAGGGTCTGTTTTTACAGCTTGTGGTGTCACAGGTATCGTTTGACATGCTGCGGGTGCAGAGCAGCCCTGGATTGGGTTACAGCCTGCTCCACCTGTCAGATCAGGAGCTGAAATGGCCTGTCTGATAGAAACTGGGAAGAAAAAGCATGCCAAGAGGTTTTAAGCAGTGTCTAGAATGGCTTTGTTCTGTAGCTAGGGTTAAGAAAGACTTTTTTGAAAAAAGGCATGGAACTAACTGCAGTTTACTAGGTGGAAACAGTTTGTTTACTACCTCCCACCAGCTGTACCCTAATGGAGACAAATTGTTTCCAGCGAGCTAGGACAGTGATCTAAAATTATTTGTTAATCTCCAGTTGTGCTTGGGCAAACTTTCTTGTTCTTGGACATCACCAGAGACTGAAATAGCCCTGCCCTGGCATGCAGATGAGCACACAGTGTGCAAAATAGCTGCAGCAGTGTTGCAATTACCCCTGTGGGGCACAGACCTCTCCCTCCTTGTTTTGTCTCCTCTTGCAGTTACAAAATGGAGGCGCCTGCCCCCATTCCTCTCTGTGTTCCCCATCCCTGCCTGCACCTGAACCAGCCCAGTGGATCAATATCCTGAGCTCCAATGAGAACCTGCTCAAGGAGAAGGAGCTCCTCATTGACAGGTGAGGCTTTGATACTGACACGTTCAAAGAGTCCAGTCCAGTTCCATTTGGAAAGTTCCAAGGAAGGCTCATTTCTCAGAGTCCCTTTTGCCCAGCTGATCTTGTTTTGTTGCAAAGAAAAATATAAGGACTTTAGAGAACAACCTGAGCTCTTCTCTCCTTCTTTGAATTAGGATGATGATCCTGAAGGGCTCTAATAAATTCATTTTAGTTATGGTTTTCTGTGTTTTATAAGGGATAAAGATTTCTGTTCACGTCATGATTATCTGGAATGTCAAAATGACTGCCTCTTTTGCTTAAGGATTTTTTGAGAGCTCTTTGAGGCCTTTATTTTAAGTTTGGGGTTTGTGACTTTGGGCTGGCAGACAACATTTCTCTTATCTAAGGCTAGTGACTAGTGGGTCTCTTATTTAAAGCTAGTAGCTTTTTGAAAAGTAAGTTCTAATGAAAAGTACCTTCAACATCTGGACTGTAAATACTTTTCCTTCCTTATTTTGAGTCATCTGTTGTCTGTTCATTCCCCTCCTAAGCTCCAGAGTCTAGCTGGATCCTCCAAAACATGCAAGACTTGTGTGTTTTACCTGTAATCACGGATGGGGGAAGGGTTTTGAAGGGAAGAAAAGTTAATAATAATTGTAAAAACGGTTAAAGTGTTTATTTCTCTGCAGGTGAGCCCTGAGTGGCAGCGTTGTGCTTGTGCTCTGCCTGTCACTGAGTGGAGCACAGTGCTGTGCTGGCTCTGTTTGTGCCGTGCTGCTGCTCTCTATGTTTGGGAACAGTGAATTGCCTGTTTTGTTGCAGACAGAGGCAGCACATTTCCCAGCTGGAGCAGAAGGTCCGTGAGAGTGAGCTGCAGGTGCACAGCGCCCTGCTGGGCTGCCCAGCATCCTATGGAGACCTCTACATGCTGAGGATGCAGGTACAGCAGGTGCCAGGGGGACATGGGTGCTGAATGCCTCGGCCCAGAGTGCTCTGAGGTGTTTGCTGAGCAGCACTGTGCACAGTCAGATTATGAATTATCCCTCGTGTGGAGTCACCATCACCTCTGTGTCCCTTTGGTTGGATTAAAGCTGTGCTGGGATGCAGGAGCTGTTTCAGATGGGCTGAGGGATGTTTGGGGACTGGGCAGGATGGGCACACAGCCCTGGGGCAGTTTGTAACCCCCACATTCAGGGGCTGTCTGTGCCTGCAGGAGCTGCAGAGGGAGAACACCTTCCTGCGAGCACAGTTCACAGAGAAGACTGAGAGCCTCAGCAAGGAGAACATTGAGCTGGAGAGGAAGCTGGCTGCTGCAGAGCTGGATGTGAAGCGGGGCCGGGAGTCCCTGAAGGAAACGGTGCAGAAACACGCAGAGGAGCTAAAGAAACAGGAGGAAAGGGTATGATCCTGTTGCTCTGGAGATGGAAGGGTGTTTTCTTGTCACTGTAGTGCTGAGGTGAAACTTTTCTGTGGCAATTTCTCATCGTGTTGTAGACTATGGTTTACAAGCAAAAGCCTCTCCTCCTGCATTAGGAGCATTTCAGTGCCTCCTCTTTTAAACAAAAAATGCCTGCCTTTCTCTCAATGAGCAGAAATAAGTGAAGGGGATCTTGTATTTTGGCATTATGTGGCATGCAAAAACCTAAATGAGTGGGCCTACAGAACACTGAAGAATAAATAAGAAATTAAGTAAACTAAACTTGTCTGTAACTGTCCCTGCAGGTAAAGGGAAGAGACAAACACATCAATAACCTTAAAAAGAAATGCCAGAAGGAATCTGAACAAAACAGAGAGAGACAGCAGAGAATCGAGACCCTGGAACGATACCTGGCTGATCTCCCAACCCTCGAGGACCACCAGAAACAGAGTCAGAAGGTAAAACTTCCTCTGAGCTGCAGTGCTGACCTCACATACTTGCTTAGGTGACATTTCTGTAGTTACATCTACTCCTCTTTTGTTGCAGCTGAAGGAATCTGAACTGAAGACCACTGCCCTGCAGGAAACAGTGCTGACACTGGAAACAGAGCTTGGAGATGTCCAGGCTGCTTTCAGGGAGCAAGAGCTGCAGCTGGAAACCCAAAAGCACAAGGAGAGGGAGCTCCTGTCCACTGTGCACAGGTAGGAACGAGGGATCAGCTTCATCCTGGCACTGCAGGAGGTGCTGCACGAGGAGAGCCCTGGCAGGTGGGGGACTGGGATGCAAACAGGGCAATGCTGATATCTGATATGAAATTAATTTCCCTCCTCAAAGTAAGGGAGGGATCATAACTAAAACTGTTTTTTCCCCATGGTGTTCTGCTCATTGCAGCTTGCAGGACAAGTTGCAGCAGTATGCAAAGAATGCAGAGAGAGGAGCCCCTTGCCAGGATGGGGAGAGGCAGAAAATGGAGCATGACTCTCTGAAGAAGGAGTGTGAGTGCCTCAGGAAGGTAAGGGGCTGTCCCAGGCAGGAGTCACACGTTTTTCCTTCCACTGACTCACACCAGGCACTCAGAGGAAATCGGGGACTTTTAAAGGCACACTGAAGCAGCAGTTCCTGGAATTGCAGGGTGCCAAAAGCTGTTCTTGATGTGATAACCACGCACTTCTCCAGAAATGCTGGGGAGAAGCTGCAGAATGCAGAAGAGGGGAGAGGAAAGCCACAAGAATACAACGTCTGGTTTTAGCTGATAAATCTAATGGTGCCTTTTATCCAAGTGCACTCCTAAGAGCATCTGTGATTAGAGCAGTAAATGGACAGCAAAGAGAAGGAGAGGAGATGCTGTCCCACTGAAGTAGAATTCCTGGTGGTATTTCTGGATCTGGGTGGCCACTTCTGATGCCTGTACTTTTAATTCCAGATTGTGGACAAAAAGCAGAAGAAGATGGAGCAGTTATCCTTGCAAGTCAAGGTGAGAGGTGATGGGGAGGGACCCTGAACTTGAGAATATGCTCTGAAATGAGTTACTTACTGTGTTCCCATGGTCTGTTCCAGAACCTGGAGGAACAGGTGGCCCAGGAGGAGGGGACAAGCCAAGCTCTGAAGGAGGAGGCAATGAGGAGGGAAAATGCTCTGCAGCAGCTCCGGGCCGCCGTGAAAGAGGTCAGGGGGGGTTTGAGTGAACAGTGGATTGTCTCTGAGCAAGGCCCTGAATTTAGTCAGCAGCTCAGTCTCTCCTGCTAGTCATTGTCCTGTCAGGGCTGAGAAGGGAAGCAGGAGCAGCAGGTTGTGCCTGGGGAATTGATGGGGATGGGATGGAGGAGGCTGAGCTTGCCAGCTGGGGGCCGCAGAACGGGAGCCCAAGCACAGCCCAGGGGTCAGAGCCCCCTCCCAGCCCTCTTGGCAAGGTGCACCAGCTCCTGGGAGCTTTCACTGCTCTGGCTGGCAGGGACAGTGCAGCTTCACTTCCCCGTGGCAGTGACGCTCGCTGCTCTGGGCACAGCCTGGAGCGCTGCATGCAGCCCAGCCCCTGCCCCGGTGCTCCCCTCACACAGCAGCTGCCTTCAGCACCCAGTGCTGCCCCCTGACGTGCCCTGTCCGTGTGTCCAGCTGTCGGTGCAGAACCAGGAGCTGATAGAGAAGAACCTGACGCTGCAGGAGCAGCTGCGGCAGGCGCAGGTGGCGGCGCAGCCCCTGCCTGCTGACACTGCCCGCCTGGCCCAGGAGCTGCACGGGGAGCTGGCCAGCTGCCTGCAGGATTTACAGTCTGTCTACAGCATCGTCACCCAGAGGGCTCAGGGCAAGGACCCCAACCTCTCCCTGCTCCTGGGCATTCACTGTGAGTACCCTTCCTTTCCATGGCACAACAAACCCTTCTGTGCTGTGGCAGAATGAAATAACTCACATAGAGCGTGGAAGGTGCTCTTTCTGGGCTTCTGAGTGCTCTTTCTGTGCTTGGCTTGCTTCAAAGGTGCATGTTCTACTTAACATTCAGTTATTACAACCTCTTTTGCAAATGTGAGTTGGTTTTCCTGGCTGATTTTCAAATGTGTGCGATCCTTGCTGGGAACTGCGTGTGAGGAAACTCCTCCCTTCTCTGACCCCACAGCTGTGCAGTACCCTGTGAGGGAGAAGGATGACCTGCTGAGCCCTGACGAACTGGCCAAGAAGCTGGTGGAGGTAAAAGAGCTGCACAAAGAGGTGGAGGACTTGAGGACTGCAATATCTGACAGATACGCTCAGGACATGGGAGACAACTGCATCACCCAGTGAAGAGCACTCCCAAAGTAAGGCAGGGAATGAAGACTTGAAACTCTCAGGAGTCTTGTGCTCCTACAACCCTAAACTATTCAGCACTTTACCATCCCTCTGCTCGGGTACAGGACTTGTCTGATCTGTGAGGAATCGGGGGGTTTGTGGCCAGAAGTGCTGACTGGGATGATTCAGGGCTTCGGTGTCAGGCTTTGCAGTAGCTTTGATCTTGTGGGATGTGTTTTATGCTGTGTTTGCTGGAGCTGCCGTGGCCTGTGATGCTGGGAGATGGATTCTGACTTGCCTTGCAGGCATGTCAAATGCTGAACGTGCAAGTGTGACAGTTAAAATGATGGCTGAAAGGAAATGTACGCCCTGGCCTCGCTGATAACCTCCCTGTGCAGGTCCTGTGGGACCAGAGGCTTGTCAGGGTGTTTGTGGGGTATCTGGGTTCCACGGGCAGGCAGGTGTGCCAGTTCCACTGCTGGCATTTACATCGAGGTGCTGCTGCCTTGGACTGATGGAGCAGGACCTGCTCTCCTCAGGTAATGCAGCCATTCAGCAGCCAGCACGAGCTGAGGACTAAAGCAACACTAAAAGACTCTGGAGCTGCTCCCCCTGGGCACTGTTACCCCAGAAGCCTTAAGGCTGTTGTCCCCCTGCATCAGCACTGGCAGTGGGCTGTGATCAGACTGCAGAGCCAGTGGATTGGTGCTGAAGTGCCTTAATGAGCTGGAAGAACCCTCTGCCCCCACTCTGCTCCGTGCCTAATGCATCCCCTGGCAGGGGAGGGGCTGCTCTTCCCTCTCACAGCCTTTTAGAGCCATCAAACCATCCTGGGGAGCCCCAAGTGTCTGTGGGCCCTGCCAGAGCCCCCCAGAGCCTCTGTGCCCTGGGGACACCCCTGCTTTACTGGGGAAAGCCATACTGCTCCTGATGTGGAGGGGTGGCACAGGGAGCCCTTCTGCCAGCTGTGGCCACTTGGGCTCTGTCACAGCCCTGTCCCTCCTTCCCTGCTCCTCTGCGAGCGATGGGATTTCTGAATGAGTCCCTGCGGGATCAGTCTCACTGTCCCACCACCCTCCCTACCCCAGGGACAGCTTTACTGAGTCTGAGGGTGGAACTTGGGTTTTCATCTTAAGAGCAAGATGCCCAAGCTGTGACAGGGAAAGTCCTGCTGGCACTTGTGGTGTTTGGCTGCTCTTGGTCTGTGAGCCCTGGGTTTGGCAGAAATGCTTTTGTTATTCCTTTGTGTTACAATTTTAAGACCAAATCTGTTTTGTTCTCGGTGTTTGGCCACCATGGGGGACTGGTTGGTTTGTCCCACACAGGGAGCACACAGCCGTGTCTGTCTGTCTGTCCTGCTGTCCCTGCGTGTTCTGTTCCTGGCTGTGTCTGTCCCCAGGCTGCTGGTGCTGTGTACTGGGGAAAACACTTTTCCAGGGCTGTTTTTGAAGCTGTTTGTCCTGATTACCAGGAGCTCTGCTGGCTCCTGCAGCTTCTCAGGGGGCTTGGGCTCCATCTCCTTCTCCCCTTGGCTTTGGGGGTGCTGTGAGGGGACAGCTGTGCCCTCTGTCCCTGCAGAGGTGATTCTGAGATGGAATTATTGTGGCTGGAACCACCTGGCTCTGTCCCAGCAGCCGGGCTGCCCTGTCCTCGTCCCCTCCATGGGGACATGTCCTCTCCTCATCCTCCTGCTCAGCCGAGCCCCTCTGGCCCCGAGGGTGATGCTGTGCTGTCTGCTGCTGCTGCAGGGAAATCCTGGGCTACAGAACACCCCAGGACGGTGTTCCCTCCCTGTCCCCCTTCCTCGTCCCACGCGTGTCCCCCGGTGTCGTGCCCGGTCCCGTTGGGCTCGGTGTCTTTGTCCCATCCTCTGTGTCGGCACTTGTTTGTATCGGGTATTTGGAGTATCAAATAAAGCTGTTCTGCCCCATCGTGCGAGGCCGTCCTGCCTGGGGAGGGAGAGGGAGGGAGGAGCTCCGGGGCTGCTGCCGGTGCCTCTCCCGGTGCGGGCGATGGCTCGGGGCCGGTGGCTCCGCGGTGCCCGGTGGCTCCCGGTGTCTGTCGGGCCGGTGCCGGCGCTCCTCGGTATCTGTCGGGCTGGTGCCGGTGGCTCCCCGGTGCCGCCAGGGCGGTGTCGGCGGTTCCCGGTGCCGGCCGTTCCCGGTGCCGCTGGGCGGTGTCGGCGGTTCCCGGTGCCGCTGGGCGGTGTCGGCGGTTCCCGGTGCCGGCCGTTCCCGGTGCCGCTGGGCGGTGTCCGGGGCCGGCCCCGCCGAGTTCGCATGCCCGGTGCCGCCGGCCCCATTGGCCGCCGCAGTCACATGCCGGCCGGGCGGCGGCGGGGCTGCCGCTCCTCCCTCCCTCCGTCCATCCTCCTCCGTCCCTCCCTCGCTGCTCCCCTGGCCGGGCTGGCGCTGGGAGCGGCCGCGATCGCACCATGAGCACCCTCAAGGTCTACAGCACGTCGGTGACCGGCTCCCGGGAGGTGAGCACCGGGCGGGGCACCGGGCACCGGGCAGGGCTGCGCGGCCCCCCCGCCCCATCCTCGCTGTCCCCTCTCCCCTGCCCCGGCCCCAGCCGTCCCCAGAGGCGCCGCTCCGTGCTGGCTGTCCCCCACGGCCGGGGGCACCGTGCTGAGCCCCGCTGGGTGTGTGCCCACCCACCCACCCTCGGGGCTCCTCTCCATCCCCCGTAACCCGCTCCTCTCCCACCCGGCTGCCAGATCAAATCCCAACAGAGCGAGGTAACCCGAATCCTGGACGGCAAGAACATCAAGTACGAGCTGGTGGACATCTCCCAGGACAACGCTCTCCGGGAGGAGATGAGGGCCAAGGCAGGCAACCCCAAAGCCATCCCGCCCCAGATCGTCAACGGGGACCAGTACTGCGGGGTGAGGCTGTGCGCCATGCTGGGCTTGGGGTGGGTGCTGTCCTGTCCTGGATGTGCTGCACACCTTCAGGATGCCCTGTAAATTATTTATTGTGAGGTGCAGGGACCAGCACGGCTGTTTGCCTCGGGAAAAAGGGGACAGGGGGTTTGGATGGCAGCGGGGCTGTGCCCGCTTTGTCCCGCCATCCTTGGCACAAGCGGCTGTGCCAGGGCTGTGGAGCAGATTGTGCCGTGGGCCCGTGGCCCCTCCTGCCTCGGGAGTGACCCTGTGGCGTTTCCCCGCAGGATTACGAGCTCTTTGTGGAAGCTGTGGAGCAAAACACTCTGCAGGAGTTCCTCAAGTTGGCCTGAGCCCCGCTGCCCCTCCCAGCCCGGACTCTACCTGCATTCCTGAGCGCCCTCATCTCCCACCACCCTCACCCGTCAGCGCTGTCCTGGCACCTCCACCTGCGTCCCAGCCCAGGGAAACACCCACGACCAAAACTCCTCATTGCAGCTGCCTCCGAGTCCCTCCTGCTGACCCCGGCCTCGTCTCGGAGGGATCCAAAGAAACGCCGCTCGCTGCTCGGGCTGTGAGCAGAGCTGGGCCTGGCTCACGGCAGCTTCCAGTGCCTCTGTCAACAGCAAAGCCTCTGGGGCTGTGGGAGGTGATCCTGGCCTTCAGCCCCCTCCTCTGCCTCGCCAGGGAGGGGCTTAGGGCTGCACGGGACTTCCCACTTCTCCCAGTTGCTGTTAAAATTGTAAATTCTGCTGCCTCACTTCCTTTTTTTTTTTTTTTTTTTTGTCTTTTTCCCTCCTCTTCATCTCAACTGCAGAGATTATGGCAACTAAGTAAGGGGTTTTTTGTTGTTTTTTTGGGGGTTTTTTGTCTTAATTTAATGCAAAAGTACTGCACAGAATTGGGTGTGAGTGCCCAGCACGGTGGGGCTGGGGCTGAAGGCTGCCTGGGGCATGGGTGGGGCTGGCAGTGGGATCCGAGCTGCTCTGGCCGCCCTCCGCCCCGAGCAGCTCCCTGGTGAGCATTAATGGCTCAGGGCTGCCCCACAGCAGCTGATGCTCCAGCTGTCCCATCTTTCCTCTTTGTGTTGGCTTGTTTGCGATCCTGGACCAAGTGCATTTTGTTTTCCTGCCAAAAAGCAAGTTTATAACCAGTGTTGTCTTCCGAGATGCTATTAAATGTTACCGGACCTTTCACGGCGCCGCTCTTGCCTTTCTTTTAAATTCGGTTTTGTTTTGGCTACAGGTTAAACACCGCCCTGCCTAAGGATTGTGAGTCATTTCCAGCTGAGTGGGTTGTGCCTGCTGCTGCAGCCTGACACAAAGACCTTAACACCTTAGCTTGCTGCTGCTAATCAGAGGCTCCCAGGACGTGTGTGAATGTCCTACGGCGCAGCAGGGACAGGTACCAGAGCATTCCTCCCCTCTGCCCGGGGCAGGGACAGCCTCAGCCAGACGTGGCAGGGAAAAACAAATATTGGCACAGAGATTGGGACACAGAGAGGCAGGGGAAACAGCTGCTCCGGACTCTGCTCCAGGTGGGAAGGGAGGAAGCTGAGGGAGAGCTGGGTGGGTTGAGTCAGTGCTCACAGGGTGCTGGTTTGCTTCCTGTGTTTGAGTGGTGCAGCTCTGCTCAGAGGGCTCTGGGAAGAGCTCTGGGCTTCCAACCATGCCTCAGAAATCTAAAGGAAGTGGAAATTGCTGGAATAAAGGGTTTTATTGGGAGCCTTTGCTGAGGGCTGGGTCTGTGTGAAGAGGGAACCTGCCAGCAGCCCTGCCCCACATGAGTGGGAGTGCTGTCAGCTGCGAGTCAAGTGAGAGCTTGTCACAGCTGGAATGGGAAGAATGTGCTGGGGAAAGGGAAAGGGAAAAGCGCAGCCCCAGCCCACGGCCAGGGAGGAAGATGCTTTGTTCAGGGCTGGGCAGAGAGGGGTTCTGCTGCTCTCAGTGTCACGGTGTCCTGTTGCAGGAGGAGGAGGAGGAGGAGGGCGGGTGCCTGCAGGCAGGCTGGAGCCGGGGCCGCTGCGGCTGGGGGCTGTCCAAGGGAAGGAGCTGTGCACGTACAGGAAGCCCAGCAGCAGCAGGATCTCCCAGCTGAGCCTGGCTCGGCCCCAGCCAGGCAATAACTCAAGGCCTTCAGGTTTAGCTCCAGCCCAGACCGTGGCACTGGGCCCGAGTGTGCCCTGCTGTCCGTGCAGGTGAGGTCTGCAGGGAGCTGAGTGCAGAATGCAAACGGCCCTGGCTGTGTGTCCATCCTGCTGCCGCAGCCCCTGAGCGCTGCCCAGTGCTGGGGGGAGGCTGGCAGGCTCCTGGGCAGGGCTCAGCCCGTGTAACCTGCACGGAGAGGAGGAGCCGGGCCCAGGTGAGCTGCTGGAGGTGTCCCTGTGCTGGGGAACAGCAGGGCTGGCCCGGCCCCTCTGCCACAGGGAGTGGCCAAATGGCTGCTCCCACCCAGCTCTGCTCCGTGTCCAGCACGGTGAAACTGAATCTGGAAAGGAAACCTCTCCCTCTTCCCAGCCGGGTAAGGTGAGAGCAGCTCCTAGGCTGGCTGCAGCCCCCTGCCCTGCCCCGGGGAGGGGTCTCTCCTGCGGAGCAGCAGCGAGGCCCGGGGCACCAGCCCGCATTCCTGCAGGCTCCTGGAGCTGTCCGTGTACACCCGCTGGGGAAAGGTGCTCAGGATCTCATAGTCCGAGTTTCCACCCCTAGGAAAGAACAGCACAACCTCCTCCTACTCACGGGATTCCCCACGGTTCTGACCGATCCAGATGTGGTTATGCAAGAGCAGAAAAAAGGGTTTGCAGCCCAAAGCGCAGCCTGGCCAGCACACAGCTGCACTGGGGAGGAGGGAGGCTCCTGCATCCACCAGCACTGAGCTCATCCTGGGCTCACACCAGGCCAGGCAGCAGGAGTGGGGACAGCAGAGGGGTCCCTCAGGCACCTGGAGCTGTCCCCAGCAGGCTCAGGGAGCCCCTGTGCAGCGCTGGATGTTTGGGACACAGCTGGCTGAGCCAGGCCAAGGCTGCAGCTCAGCCTCCAGCACCTTGGGAAGGGTGGCACCAGCCTGGTGAGTGCTGGGAGGAGGCAAAGGCAGCACTGGGCCTGGATTTGATGGCAATTTGGAGAGGACAGAAGTTTATCTCTGTTGCTGTGTGGCAAAGGTGGGTATGAAATGCCCTGAGCTGCTCAGAGCATTGGAGAGTGCCAGGTGGGCACGGGGCTGTGCCCCAGCTCATGTTTGAAGCTCCAGGCCCTCAGGAACCCCTTCCTGGGGCCCTGCAGGCTCAGGCAGGGTGGGAGGGAGGGCTGGGCTACCTGAGGTGGGCGAGCAGCCGGCGCAGGTCCCCGATGGTGTCTGTGAGCAGCATCCTCAGCTCGTACGTCTGCTCCCCGCTCTCGGACCTGACGCGCAGCCTGCAGAGCTCAGGGGCTCCAGCCTGCTCTGCTGCCCTCGCCCTGCGGGCACAGAGCCCTGTCAGCCCCGGGCACAGCTCCTCCCAGCAGGAACAGCCCCCATGGCCCGACCAGGGCACGGCACTTCGGTGTTTGGGAATGTCCTTGAGGGGAATGAGGCCCCGTCCGACCAGGGGCACCCAGACCAACCCAGTGCCCAAACTGGTGAAGGTGCCTTGGGGAGGGTTATTTATGGGCCCTTTTCAGCTTTTTCATTTTAAACCAGGGCTGTCTGGTAAGTACTCTGCCCTACTTCTTTGATTAAAAATAATCTGCTTGGGGTTTATTTTCATTAGTTATTTGGGTCTTGGCTTGCCAGAAGACAGAGTGGAAAAGTGCTGTTAGTGAGACCTCTCATCACCAGTTTTCTGGAGGAGTTCTCCATTTAATATGACTGTATACAATGGTTGCAAACTCTTAGGCCTTGGCTTGCTGTCGGGAAAACTTTCACATAAATAAGTGACATTTTTGAACAACAGAAGCTTTTTGTTAGAGATGTAAAATATGGCATGTTTGCCATGAAAAATTCAGTGGTTTTCACAAAGGACCAAACTCGGCCTTTTGTCTCACTGTTTCTAAGGTCTAAAAGGGGAAAGTCCATTCCACAACTGAACGAAACCTGCAGTGGTGGGGGGCTGTACCTGTACCTGTCCAGGGCAGCCAGCCCAGGTGTTTCCAGCAGGATTTCCTCGCTGCTCTGCTGCCCATCAGAGCCCTGCAAGCAGAGCAGGAGAGTGTGAGCCCTGCAGGGCGAGCAGCCAGAGCTGGCACAGCCACAGGCAGGGGCCCAGTGCCACCTGTGCCCTGCTGCTGCCTCTCTGGGGGTTCCAGGGGGCTGAGAGAGGCCCGGGAGGGGCCGTGGGTGCTGTGCAGGGCGCTGAGCCCACAGCATCACCCTGCTCTCCTCTGGTACCTGTGCAGCTGCTCCTTGGGCGCTGCCCACGCTCCCTCTGCGCTCCAGGGGCTGGGAAACCTCGTTGGGATCCTGCTCCCAGGAGCATTTGGGACCTAGGGAGCAGAGGGGAGATATTTCCGTGTGTGAGCTTTGTGACGAAGGTTTTTCCTCCAGAAGAGGCAGGTTTGGTGAAAGCAGAGAGCAGCGGCCGACAGGGAGAGCTCTCGGCACCCCAGCCGGGCCCAGAGCAGCTCTGGGGCTCCTCCCTGAAGCTGTCCCACTTTGTGCCCCACTGAATGTCTGACTGTGAGCATCAGCAGTGAGAACTGTGCACAGCTGGGGTGCTCAGCAGGCAGGCAGCTCTGCTGGGAAAAACTGGGGCTGTCACCATTGTTACAGACTTTTTTCACCTTGTCTGTGAAAAAAAGTCTGCAAAAGTGACTTTTTTACCTTGTGAGGGTGGATTTGTAGGTGTCCATTCCTTCCTGCTTGGACAATTCTTTATTTTGCTGCTTGGGTAAAGGGGATATTTAGCTTTATCCTCGAGCACAGCTGTAGGAAGCAGGCAGCTGTTTCTCATGAGGGATACCTGTGCTGGGTCATTCAGTGATGCACCCACAGCCCCGCTGATTTCTGACTTCCCAGCCCTGTCAGACATTGCTTACACAGACTGCAAGTGTCTAGAAGCCAAATGAGGAATCTGTGGCCTTTGATGTCCCATATTGTGCTGTGAAAGTCTGAAGAGAAACCATCCCATGTTGGGTGCAGTTACGGTAAATCTGCCTTGACGATATCTTCATTTTTGGAATGACTTGTTGAAAGGGGCAGTGTTTGCAGGCAGCTCCCCCAGGCCTGCAGGGTTACCTCAGCATCCTTTCATGTGGTCAAGCTGGAAGGAAGCCTGGCCTTTCAGAAAGGCACGGGGCAGATTTGTTTTTGGAAACCTGCTGAATTTCTATTATTTCATTACTTGTCACGTCTCATTCCTGAGCAGGATTAATGCTGAGAGGATCCTGTGTGAACTGCTGGCTCCCAGCTCTCACATTCCCCTCCTACCACCTGGTAAGGTTTAAGAATGCTCCTCCTCAAGACTGAGCAGCATTTTCGAGGCAGGTTTAAGGTTTCACCTGGGATCTTGGAGGTTTCCTGCATTCTGTTGGATTCTGAAGTCCCCACCACGTGGCCAAGGCCAGGAAAGCTCCCTGCAAGGTCTGGCTTCTGGAACACCACATCCCTCCTGTCAGTGACCTGTGAGCAAATCTGGGTGTGGCACAAGCTCCTCTTGCTGCATCTGAGCCCAGCAAAGCACAGCAATGCCAGGGAGCAGCTGTGAACCCCAAAACAGGGCTGCACAGGGAGCCCAGCCCCAGAGCTCTGCACAGTCCCCTTTCCATGGGATTCCTCACCCCAGAGCTCTGCACAATCCCTTCCATGGGATCCCTCACCCCCAGAGCTCTGCACAATCCCATTTCCATGGGGTTCCTCACCCCCAGAGCTCTGCACAATCCC